ACGCATCAATTCGGCTAATTGGGGATTTTTCTATTAATATCACAGCTCGAAAAAACGAAAAAAAAAATAAACGCATGGAAGAAGAAGTTTATCAGTCCATCTCGGTAGGTAACTTACCTATCGTAATTTGGGAGATTTAAATCTATTGACAAGATCTCTTACCTGGTTCTTCAATTTTGTCCACCCCTTTTTTATTGTAAGCATGCATTCTTTTCCCTTCCTATATGTAATGGCTGGTAGCATCAATCGATCGAATATTGTTTTTTGAATCGTTTTTTCAGACTTGATTATAAAACTCTACGAATTTTTTGATGCTAATTTGATTCTTCGGTTAATTTTTGAAAGTAGTTAACCGGAGATGCATATCATTTGACACAAGTATTCATTCTCCATTCTTAGGAGGCCTTTAAATGTGGTCTACCTTTGATCTAGTTTTATACATAGGCCTACTTCAACCAATTTCTTGGTATATGTGATTGTTTCTCAGTCTTCAATCTCTCTGAAGGTGTCGTCATAAGATATAACCGGTAAACCTGACAAAGTTTTACTAAACAATTCACATTGCTAGACGTGTTACATAGTTCTAAACTCGGCGGTCTCATTTCCTGTCCATGTAATATGTCACTAGAGATATTGGATTGAAACATTCTTTAGATGTCTTTCTTCTTATTTATTTGCACGGATGATTTTTCTTATTTTTATTCATACAACTGTTATCTGTATATATTTTTATTCATACAATCTGTTATCTGTCGCACTGAAGAACATGACTCATTATTAATAAAAGACTGAAAACGGCGCGGCGCTTATGTTACCGTGTTTCATTTTGCTAGTTGCATACATTCAGTTGGTTTAGACATCTTTCGTTGATCTTGTAAACATTAGATGTCTATAAAATTATAACCAGTTTTTCTAAGTTTTTTTTAAGTATATAATATGTTTACAATTGCATAGGTTACGAAATATTCTGATGTATCAAAAACGACATGATATAGATGGTGGGCCAGGCAGTGAATATTACGTAGAAATAAAAGGCGTGCCTGTAAAACTATATTGAAAGAATGAGTTTTGGAAGTAAATTTATTCAATATTTTCAGAAAACTTTCCTACTTCAGTTTAATGCGCTTTCGTCTTCATTATTCAGCCAAAATGAACATAAAGTTGAACTTTAACTGAAAGTATGAATATAGTGGTCAGTTTCACTGAAAATGTCTTCTCACGCTTATTATTTTTTCAGTAACCCAACAATCGTGTTCAGTATCACTTCTGGCCACTAAGCTTAAAAATTGGCACGGGCCGGAACTGGTTGCAGTAAAGGGAGAAAACATCCCTAAAGAGGCGACCATCACGGTCTTAAGACACCACCTACCTGCTGAACCTTATCCAGGGTCAGAACTTAAATGTAAGGACATCGAGTTGGCGAGTCATTAACTCGAGAGAGGAGGGTCATGGTCAGGTCCTCACAATATAAATTGACCTCAAATCCAAGGAGGAAATAGAGAAAGAGGTACATATTCTCCATTATAGATACGCTATATCAGGTCTAAGGAGGGACCAAATTAAAGAGGTGAAGAAAATGGAGACAGATCCTGCCGGAGGCAAGCTTCTCGACTGTGAAGGACACGGAGGGCCAAACTCCAACCGTGGAAGGGTGTGTACCCTCGGAGGAAGAACAGCTGTTGTCAGAGAAGGATGGGAAATACCCTGTCCCCTCTACAACAAGGGTATGATGGGTTATAGACTGTGTAATGACTCAAGGAAAGGGGCACAATAGATCTTTACGGTCGCAGTGATTAATCCCCCCTCTCACTTATTCTACAATCTACATCACTTCTGGCCTCATTAATGGCGTATTTACACCTTATTTAACGACGAAATCGGTATATTCGTTGTTTTTAGATCATATAATAACCCCATATCCATAAAAAATGAATCTTCCCATCTTCAAATAAATTTAGAAATTTCTTTTTGCAAAGAATATTAATTTTGTTCTTAAGTAGCTTTTATAGTGGCTTTTACATATCCTAAAATATGTTGTTGGTTTCAATAGCAAACTCTTTTTGGAAAGAGAAAGATTTTTTTATAAATTAGTCTCCACGTCGAAATAACAGTCGTATATTTAGCTACAATGAATTAAAATTATTTTATAATACATTTATCAACACTCATAAATCCACTTAAAAAACCGTAGTATAATAAACATTATAGTTACGAAAGTTTGTTTCTGGATGAAACTATTCCAATAAAACGCTTCCAATTTATATACGATGTGGGAATACAGAAAGAAAACTGTGTTTAATTTCCATGTAACATATATGACACAGGTTTAAACGTGTTAATTATTATCAACGAGACGCAAATTAATTAAATTCTCTTCTGCCAGTGAATTATTGTTCGCCATTGAAACGTTAGTATTATGTAGGTGCGCTCACAGCCGAACCGTATATACGCTTTTATTCGGTGCAACACAATAGGAGTTTAACTAATTATAATTTATTATATGCGCTAATACAATAAACTGATGCTCGATTATTTTTGTGGCCGGCCCCTAACAAATTTCAGGACATTGTTTAACCTTGCCGCAACAATATGCTAGTGTTGTTGTTTTTTAATTAACGATCTGTTGCACATACACTTTGTTTTATGCAAACAAAATATCGATTTTTCTATAATTGAAAATCTTCTGGGATCCATGCCTAAGCGATGTCTGAAAGTAATTAAGAATAAGGGTTATTACACTAAGTACTAGTAAATTATAAGTTAATTTTTCAGTTTTTGTTAACATAAGATTTTTTTTATTAAATATATATTTTGTTCATCTACTTTTGTCGAATAGTTTTTTCAATTTAAATTTTTTGCTACCTTATTAAAGCACATTTTAAAAAAACAATGCTATTTATTTTTATAGCACTGACACTAGACTTCAAGTAAATATAGCTCAAATTTTAATTTTAAATATATTAGGAAAAACCCATTATTTTAACAAAGTTCATCCACTTATGGCCAATACTGTACATTAAATTTATGTGTTTAAAAGAAAATGTTTTTCTTCTTAACTCTTGTTCCATTCTTGAATGATTGCCATTTTACACTTAACAACTTACATCCTGAGTATTCTAACATTGCAGACATAATACAGGGTGGTCCAAACTGTATTCCGGAAACTTCGGCAGCATATTCTACAGATAAAAATAAGTAAAAAAAGTTCGTATAAATGTATGTCCTAAAATGCTTAGTTTCCGAGATACAGGGTGTAGAAGTTTCATTTTTATTTCGATTTTTTCCAAATAATTTTTGAAGTAACGTCAATATTTGGATGAAAACTGGTGTCTGGGAGTTTTTTGACATTAGAAATTTGATTTTGATGACAATATGACCCCTACTAACAGAGAGCGCCACCTTTTCAGTCTAATTTCAGTCTAATAACTATTTAGTCAACATGTTTAATTTATTTCAATAATGACAGGTATTGATAACCAAGAGACCTTTTTTACGTAAAAAACGTAGTAAATGTATATTTTTTCACTCAGCAGTTTTATACAGGTACGGACGAAAAGTTATTACTCTTCAAACCAGTTAAAAAATATTTAGGTGGCGCCCGCTACTAGTAGGAGTTGACATCAATATCAAATTTTTCATGTCAAAAAACTACCAGACACCAATTTTCATCCTAATATTGACGTTACTTCAGAAATTATTTGGAAAATATTTAAATAAAAATGAAGAAGTTTCATTTTCACACCCTGTATCTCCGAAACCAAGCATTTTAGGACATACATTTATACGAACTTTTTTACTTATTTTTAAGTTGCCGAAGTTTCCGGAATACAGTTCGGACCACCCTGTATATAACAAATAATTCACATGATGGCTATTACTTGAATACCTTCTTGAATAAAATATAGTAAAATATACATGAATAAGTACATAAAATCATTATCAAACTGATTGTAGCTATTAAGTTAATTAGAATTCGTAAATACTTAATTATGCATAATTGAGTAAATTATAGCCTTTCGGGATTTGAGAGAAATTTGACGTTAGACTTTAATTCTATTAATATAACATGTACCGTACGATTGTAAATGAATATAATTTTGCAGGTCATGAAAGCACCTGATAATTTCACATCAAACGAAAAAAAGTTCTTTTTTGTAAAATATTTAGAACAAGAAAATTGTAAATAATTTTAGAAAATGTATTTTTAAAAATCAAAGTATTCATTACAATATTTTTTAATCCCCCCAAAAATATCTATTAGAATTAGAATTAGAATAAGTGGGAGGGGGGTTAATCTCTGCGACCTTAGAGATCTATTGTGTCCCCCTTTCTTGAGTTATAACTCATCATACAGTCCCAGGACTTCCTACGGAGACCCGTGTCCCTCACAGTCGAGGAGCTACGACCCAGGCCGGGTAGACGAAACGGTAGCTTGTGTCGCTTGTTGGGTTTAGAGGTGGGAGGTAGGCTCCCGACCCTTGAAGGAGGTGGTAGCTTGTATGCCTCATGCGGAGGATGGTCTCACGTAAGTGTCAGCCACCTCTCCTGTAGTTCTCTTTGGGTTTTGCCCCTTGGAACTTTCATTGCTAGGGGGTTTCCCCACAGCTTCACCGGTGATGTTTTTATTACTATTATTATCAGATCTCATAGTGTTCCTATGAGTCGCTAGGGACAGTCGGTCCACTTCTACAGAGCCCCGCATGTAGAAATAAGGGGTAAAATACAATGGGGTGCCCCCCGGTGCCCCAAGGTTGAGGCTGTCCGTAGCCCCGCCCGGTATCGTTATATGTCTTTGTGCAATTTCCTGGCCACGACACTACAGTCAGGGACAAGACGATGAGTGAGATGCTTCTTAGACCAAGCCAAGTGCTAGAGGGGATTCCCCCCAGCACCTGACCAGGAGCTTCCCCACCAACGACAAGGTCTTGCATCTCCTAGAGGAAGCCAAAAAAATATCTGTAGCGATAGGATTATTTATTGTAACACTAGTAAGTACTTACCTCAGTGATGAATGTAGTTTTGTGGCTTTGGCAATAAGATCCTCCCATAAAGGCATGCCGTTCTGTAACAAAAAATATAACAGTAAACAATTTCATTTGTACAAAAGATTTACATAAAAATATGGCGTTTTCATATAAATGTTTTCCTTTTTGTAAACTAAACGCATAAAGGCTAGTAACGCCTAATCCTAAATCATAATGGTCACATATACATTTACATATAATATATACAGGGTGATCCGAACTGTATTCCGGAAACTTCGGCAGCATATTCTGCAGATAAAAATAAGTAAAAAACTTCGTATAAATGTATGTCCTTAAATGCTTAGTTTCGGAGATACAGGGTGTAGAAGTTTCATTTTTATTTCGATTTTTTCTAAATAATTTCTGAAGTAACGTCAATATTTGGATGAAAATTGGTGTCTGGGAGTTTTTTGACATGACAAATTTGATTTTGATGTCAATATGACTCCTGCTTGTAGAGGGCGCCACCTACATATTTTTCAACTGGTGTGAAGGCTAATAACTTTTCGTCAGTACGTGTATAAAATTACCGAGTAAAAAATATATATTTGCGACATTTTTTACGTAAAAAAGGTTTCTTGGTAAAAATCGCTACGAGTAATGGTTCTCGAGATATTTGGAATCAAAATTATCAATACCTGTCATCACTGACATAAAAATAAAAATCTCCCGAATTTATTATTTCAGTCAAATAACTATCTACTCAACGTGTTTATTTTTTTGTCAATAATGACATGTATTGACTATTTCCATTCTAATGTAAACGAAATGAACAGTTGAAATAGTTTCAGGTTTGTACAGGGTGCACCAAATTGAAAATGGTAACTATAATAAAACTAATGGTCAAACGAGGCATTTTTGGGCTTGGCTATATAGCTAATATTTAAGTAGTTTAGTTTTTAACAATGCAGTTATTGAAACTATACCAACACTTCAAGTACGAGGTTTGTATGTGCACGATCCATGTGCGGCAAATGCAGATCCTATATTAGCATAAACTGTATTTGAAAAAGTTATGTACATTCAAGGTTTGCAGTTTTGTTGAAAATAATTTATGTTTATTACTTTACCTTCACATTTCAGTTTGTACTTTTAATAATACGGTAAAATCAAAAATATATATGTTTTTAATTTCTATGGGTTTCTCAGCCAAGTTATATTTTTGTTGACAAAAATTCCTAAAAAATGCGTTTTACTTTATTTTTGTGTCCGTTCTTATTAATGTGTTGAAAATTAATGAAATGAATGGCGTTGTTATGGGTGTGTTTAGTTGTACTCATTCTTTTCAACGAAACGTCAAAGTTGTTACTTCTCACAGATAAGAGGTAAATGGCTAAATTTTATGTTTAAAATTATAAATTGTTGTTGTTCTTGTGCTCTTTTTACATTTATATTATTGTTTGGATTGAAAATGGCTCGGCAAGCTGCAGGTATGTGTTCTACAAAAACCTATTATTTATTTTGATATTCTCTATACTAACGATTTTTTTGCAACTAAAAGTTAGGCGTACAGAAAATTTGATTAAATTTGTGACATTTTTATTATTACTTAGAGATTTAGTTGCGCATTTCGAAGAATTCAGCATATTGTCTATATGTATACGTTTAACTTAGTAAACATTGGACTTTCATACAGTAAAATAAAATACTGCGACTTTTTGCGATTTTGCTGGTAAAATGAGAAAAACATTCTTGGTTTCCTCTAATTTACCAATCAGTGATATACTAATGCGAGGTGTAAACCGCGATGGCATTGTTGTGTATAAAGTGATCGCATTAGTGCCATTAGCAGTATAGCACAATTTGGCATTAGTAGCGAATTTACTGGTATGGACATTGCTCGCGGATCAGTCGTAGCATTAGTAGTATTAGTTGCGATATTACTACTGGCATTAGTGGCATTGACCGTGGAAACACTGGAAGAGTGATTTTTCTTTTTTTTTAGAATCGACGAATTATCCTTTATTGTGTTCATATTATTTCCTCTTTAATTGAAAATAGCAATAATTTATATGTATAAGGTCTACATAAAAAAATTTCGATCAACTATCTGTGTCAAATACCCCACTGTGCGCCAGTTGGGGGTTAAGTGAAAAAAAAACGACATGGGCGTCGCTTTGTGTTGTGACAATTTCAAATGTTAATAAAATTGTATAAAAAATGTTAACACGTAAAGAAGGCTCTAATTACGTGGTTTTTGCGTGAAACAACATTCAATAACTCAACTTTACCGGATATTCAACTCTTCCGACACAACATTTTATAGCATCACAACTTCACACACCGATATGATCGACAAGCAAAAATTGATTCAAGCAGCTCGACGAAACAAGTGAGTAAACAAAGTGCCCATTACCTAATCAAAACATATTTGCATTTATTTAAGGCTCACCCTGTATATCCAGACCCAATTTTGAAAAAACCCGACAGACAACTTTCCCTTATATATTGACATCAATTAGACCATTAAAAATGACCGAAAGATATAAAAACATTCGTAATATACGTTTTTGGCGACCCAGATTTAGAAAGATTCGGATCTAGAACAAAAAAAGGCCAATAAAATAGTACCGTGACACTCCGGTCTTTGCTTTGGTGAAACGGTACCATTTTTCGTCGGTCAGATCATCAAGTCGCGATGGTTTTTTTGACCCCGGACCACTTCCTAAATCGTGAAAAGACAATTTGGGTGGTACCGCAGAGCTCGAAATAGGCGAACAGAGAGAATGGTACCGGTGAGTCACGATTTGACAGGGAAAAAAGGTGCAGAAAATGATGTCATTGTACAGAACTTTACGTTTATTGGGAAGTAAAATAATGGTTTAATAAGAGGGCAAGTTCACAATGCGGTAGATGAGTATTAATCACAGACAAGAAGAGGAAAATGCATGTTTTTAAATAATGGTTTTAAAAAATAGTTCATATAATTACATATTGAACAAAAAAAAATCGTTGATATCGGTTAAGAAATGCCTCTAATATAAAATAATTAAATATTGGTAATTTAAATGGCCGGGCAAACGCTCTCTACCGCGCCTTGCCGCTGTGACGTCACCCGCCGTTCTTCTGGTTAAGTGGAGCCAGACGCGTGTTTATTTTACACAGTTTGCTTTTAAACGCTGTTGAATCCGAGTCAAAATTTTAGTTATTTGTGTTAATTAATACATAATTAGAGTAATTAGTGATAATAGTAATGGATGATAACCCTGATATTTTTTATTGATTCTAATAGAGTTTTTTATTCTCTTTAATTTTTACCTCTTGAAGTTTTTCGCTATAACAAACCGTTTTCGAGTTATTTACATTTTTTCCCAAAAAGTACCAAAATTCAAGATGGCGGCCGATTTTTTTTGATGACGCACACATCGGACAAATGGGGACTTTTAGTATGTTAATAAGGGTTACTAAGGCTAACTATTTTCAATGGTCGCAGCTTTCTAAAAATTTTTGCAATTTCAACATGGTGAATGTCATAACTGCACTGGGGTACTAGACTTTGTTCCCGAAATACCTATTTACTTAAATTCTTTATTTAAAATTTTCTGTGTATCAGTTAATAAATAATGAAACCATCGCTATCATCTTGTTTCTGCAAGATAAAAACAGTGGTGTTGTAGTGCGAAAGATGGCAGGCCACCTCAATGCCAGATGGCCTTTCTGGCACCGCCAAACAACATATGGCAGATTGTTGCGACTGGTTATTTACATTTCTTCAGAGCGGATCTTTTTTTTTTGGGTCATATTTCACCGTTTAGGAGGCATATCAACGAAGCTGTACCATAAACGGAAATGCATCTTTCTGTCTATGAAACACATGGAACAATATTGGCAGTTTTGTCTTAACGCTAGTTCTAGAAAATGGTTGTGAAAAAAAAACGGTATCGTTTTATACGTATGTAAAATTTCAAATGTCATCGATCGTCATTTCCAAGCCAACTGTACACCGTTTCTTTTCGATCATACGATAGTTCATTATCATGAAGTATTACTATATACAGGGTTGTTCAATACATACGACACGGAGTATTGTAGCTAAACGATGATATTTTTACAAATTGTAAGTTTTGGGTTCGATGAAGGACTATTAGAGGTACAATTTAAAAATAATTTTACAAGATACAGAGTGTCCCAAATAAGTAAAAAATATCAAAGTTGTATTTTTTTAAATGGAACACCCTGTATATTATTACATTTTTAGTTCTACGATTAAAATAAAGGTAAATTTGATTAAGATTTATTATACTTAAACCTTACCGTTTTTGAAATATTTTCAATTTTGTGAAATTGCAGTAAAATTTTAAGGCTTCATTTCTCCAAAAGGGTATCAAAGTTTTTAATACTAAATATTTACTGAAGTTTATTTACTGATCAGTTATTGTGTTGCAATAATAAAAATAATACTACCTTATACAAAGTGTCTAAAAATTTATTTTAAATAATTATTAGCTTAAAACGGCAATAACTTGTTTAATTTAAATGGAACACCCTGTATATTTTACGAGAATCAGATCCACAATTTAATTGTCTATCAAATTATATTATACCATTTTTTACCTATCTCTTTAAGTTTTCGTAGAAAATGCATTTTCTTGTAATTTCAGAATTTATTTATCAATATACCCATGGACTATTGACATTTTAGATTATTTTTAAAGATGTACCAAATTTTTAAAGAGTACAGATACTAATATTGTCGATATAATTCGTTTATTTCATTAAAAAATAAAAAAAAACTGTTTAGATATTTATTAAAGAGGACCAATTAATATGATTCCAGTATTCAAACTACATTAACTGACTGTTTGCGTTGATTAATAATAATTGCTCCAAATACTAAAAAACTGAATTTTGTATGGGCATTAGACAGTGTGATAAAAAGTAACACCTTAAAAATGATATTTCATTTTTTAATAAATGCTTATTTATAACAACAGAGACTTTAATTTGATAACTTATTATTATATTGATTTCTGACTCAAATCCACATTTATTTATAATAATTTATTAACGAACACAATTAAGTATGTAATTAATTAGT